TAATTCACACTGGACGCAGCAAACGTCAAGCAATGAAGCAGCAACCAACCAACAGGCGGTATTGTTTACGCCACTATAAATATCGCCTCACTGATTGGTTGCTGCTCTGCTGCTTGACGCTTGCTGCATCCAGTGTGAATTAAGCATGACGCTTGCTGCATCCAGTCTGAACTAGGCATTAAGGCTATGGCACACACCTTTCGTAACAGTAACCATAAAACGTACCGTAAGAATCAACTAATCACAGAGTCGAAAATTCTTTTGAACTCTTAATTTTAATTGGCTGATTCTTACGGTACGTCTTATGGTTACTCTTAGTCCGGATCTACAATAGGTGTTTTAAACCTCAAGCCGTAAGAAATTGACCAATTACGGTCGAATTCGAAGAGAATAATCGACTGTAATTCGCCCATTTCTTATAGCTTAAGGCTTAAAACCCTATTGTAGATCCGGGGTTACGGAAGGTATGTGCCATGGCCTTTAGTTAAATGGACCGCATCCTGTGTCATTTGTGTACTACGTTTTGAGAAACACCCATTAAAAAGAGTCCGTTAACCTCAATTCCAAATTTCGTGCTCTATTACAATAATGTAGGATTCATACTGTGTACGACATCCGACGTGCGATGTCCGATATCCAATAGGAGAACTTGTTTTCTAAATATTTCAGCTAGCAATATTTTGTCGTTGATATTTTGACGATAATGCTTGTCATATTCTTCTTCTTTAATTAATGGCTCATGCCTCCAAATAACAATAGGAGGTCGATACGGCCAGATCACGTTTAGGATTGTTTTCCGTGTATTAAAAAACAATTATGCAATACCCGCGAAAATAGCTAAGCTCGTTCGAACACCGGGCGCCTGCATCTTCGGCGTCGTCACGTCGTAAGGACGCGCGTCAGGAAGACCGAACGGGTTGTCCAAGACCGCGGGATGATTATGTATGTTTCAATGCTCGGTCAAAGTCGGCAACACTTTCAAAAATATACAATAACTGTAGCGCACCCGAGTCGAGACGCGTCCGCCACGAGCGAGTGGTTCATCAGAACTGATGCTTGTCATATGAAAATGTTCGTCAAGGTTTAACTTTTTCGTCCGACGACGTAAGGGCTATGGCAGAGAACGAGACGTAACGAGACGTAAGTTCCGTAGTCGTAACGTAAGGTAAGGCAGAGAAAAACGTAGCTGTCGTAGTCGTGACTGGTCTGGAATGGTCGGTAAAGTGTGTCAGAGCGACGAGGTGAGTAATATTAATGCACGTTTATACGTCTTAATAGTTAATAAGGAAATATATACACACTAAAACAAAATAAAAATAGATTTATTTTTAAAGATATAATGATATTTGTTTCCACCTCCTGAAATAATCATAATAGTACGTAATTATTATTTTAGAGGTTAACCAATATTTTTCGAAGTATGTATGTACATTGTTAATTACTAACAAAAAATGTCCTTAACACATTTTTAAAATCATTATTTCTACATTCTTTCTTTAGGACGGAATTAGTTTAACCGTTTCTCAAGGTTTTCACGCGGATTCGCTAAATAGGACATCGTCCTCGTGTTATGCACATTTCATTTTTTCTTTAGAGGATCGTTACTTTAGTAGGTTAGTGCAATTTTATGATTATATGCTGTATGACTAAATCAATATTAATTAGAAAGAAGTATGTAAGTCAACCCAAAGGTCTTTTCTAATTTTTAATTTGTTTTTTAGGCAGAACATTACTTTTAACTTAACGTTGTACTAACTTTGATTGATTGAGAAATATGTCTGATCATTTAAAATATTGTAATATTAGTGATTCATCTGTTGAAATCAATACAGAAGATTATACTGACATTAATATTGAAGAAAAGAAGGGTGATGAGCTTCTCATCGAATTATACAGAGAACGTACATTTTTATACGATAAAAGTAATATTAACTTTAAAGATTGTTTAATGAAGCAAAATGCTTGGCTTGAGATATCTAAAATAATGACTCAAATTTGTGTGGTGAATATTAAATTTTATTTATTATAATTACGGATGTTAATATAATAAGTGATAATATACATGTATAAATTTATTTTTTGTCTACAATTTTTTTGCTCAGGTGACATGTATAATCCTTCGTACTGCCAAAAAAGATGTACCACATTAAGAGACCAATACAATAGAGAAAAAAGAAAGATTGAAATTGAATCCAAAAGTGGAAGTGGTGCTACTAAGGCTACTCGATTTCTTTTTTTTGCGCAGTTAGCATTTTTAGACCGTGTTATTCAAAGACGCAGGTAAAATAACTTATATCGAATTAATTCTTTGAACAAATTTGCTTTAATATATTTTTTATATGCTTATTCTAGAAGCTACACTAATTACGCAAAATCTCAACCATTTATAGTTGATGAAGGAAGTAACGAGTCACAAAGTACTGCAAATGCATTAAGCAGTGAAGAAAATGAAAATGTAAATGGGCAGCTTGTCGATAAGTTTAAACGTTTTAATAAAGAAAATATTTTTAGTTTGGAGGACAGCGAATTCTAATATGTTTTCCATCAATGGAACCCACACAATTTGGAATGTTCCATCTCTTCCAATATCCTTGTGCATATTTCGTCCAGTCTTCTTCTGTAGGTGAAGAAAGATACAGTGGTTGTAAAATCTTGATTAAAACAAGACAAACTTCTTTCACCACTTCTCTTACTGTGGATTCACCAACTCTAAATGCCAAAGCTATAACAAATGGTCGGTCACCCGTAGCAAGATATCTGAAAAAATATAATAATTGTAATACATTTTAATGAACTATGGATGCGTTCCGATATTCACACAGTACTAAAAGTCTATGGTATACGTTACGTGCATTATAGATTTATAACACTAACAGTGAACAGAAAGCAACCTTATAATATGAATTGATAACTTGGGAAATCTCTTTAGATATAAACTATGTAGTCATAGTTACCTTAAAGTTATTAAAAGTCGTAATTCTGGGAGTAAAGCACGATGACTTTTTTTTTATCAAATATGGTTTTGTCAGTTCTACTAATTTCTCAAAGTGTTCCAATGTCATTCTAGTATATCGATAAAAAAAATCAGAATCATTTTTTATTTCTTGGAATAAATTATCATAATCTCCCTGTTGGATCCTCTTTTGATTTATAGGACTCACAAGCCAGCGCCTATTTAACCACCTTTTTTGTTGTTTTTTACGTAGGAGCAACATAGACACGTTCATCCAATATGTCACAAAAAATATAAATTCATCATCATTTTTCATTTTTACAGCTTACGAGATATTGTAAATTATATATAATTTACTGAAAAAATATCCTGAAAAATATATTAGAATATAATATATAAGATTTGTAAATTATGGATGCGTTTCGATATTCACTGCCATTACTGAAAATCTATGTACCTAGAGTACATTTCAAAACGTCCTCTCCAAGAAAAATTTTACTCGAAATATATAATACACGTAACTTATATTATAGTATATAGAGTAAAATCTTTCTTGAAGAGGATGTTTTGGAATGCAGCCCTAATGTATATTATAGATTTTCAGTGACTGACAGTGAATATCGGAACACAATACAGACACCCTATTTATATGTCTTATTAACAGTAAATAAATCATATTTGGTTCATACATGCTTTACTTCATATCATAATAATTTTAAAGGTATTTTTAAGCCCGCAAAAACAATAGATAATAAGTCTTATGCCTTAAGAAATTGATCAATAACAGTCAAATGTGAGAAGAATAATCGACAATGATTGGCCAATACCTTAAGGCTTAAAGCTTCTATTGTGTTTGCGGGATAAAACATTCTTTTAACAATGTTTTCTCTTTATTAAATATCTTTTTATCAAAACAATCTTTATGATCTTCACATAGTTATCACATACATAATGTTATAAAAATTAATACCATAAAACAGATGTAATTTATTAATTTAAATTATAAATTGTTAATGATATACTGAGATAATTTGATAGACAGATCAAAAAGTTTGTTATTAATATATGAAACAAATTTCATAAAGATTGTTTTCGTAAAAAGACCTTTGGGTTGACTTACATACTTCTTTCTAATTAATATTGATTTAGTCATACAGCATATAATCATAAAATTGCACTAACCTACTAAAGTAACGATCCTCTAAAGAAAAAATGAAATGTGCATAACACGAGGACGATGTCCTATTTAGCGAATCCGCGTGAAAACCTTGAGAAACGGTTAAACTAATTCCGTCCTAAAGAAAGAATGTAGAAATAATGATTTTAAAAATGTGTTAAGGACATTTTTTGTTAGTAATTAACAATGTACATACATACTTCGAAAAATATTGGTTAACCTCTAAAATAATAATTACGTACTATTATGATTATTTCAGGAGGTGGAAACAAATATCATTATATCTTTAAAAATAAATCTATTTTTATTTTGTTTTAGTGTGTATATATTTCCTTATTAACTATTAAGACGTATAAACGTGCATTAATATTACTCACCTCGTCGCTCTGACACACTTTACCGACCATTCCAGACCAGTCACGACTACGACAGCTACGTTTTTCTCTGCCTTACCTTACGTTACGACTACGGAACTTACGTCTCGTTACGTCTCGTTCTCTGCCATAGCCCTAACGACGGACACATCGCAATATGCAACTTATCTATACTAGAGTCCTAGATTTATCAGAGAGGCGCAACCGGTGTTACGCATTCTGATTCGCTGTTGCAATTACATGACTTGGCAGCCATTTATAGTACTAGTGACATATTTCTATTTCATTTTATCTATACATTCTATCACACTCTATTTCATTCTTGCTCTTGAACAGTA